AGTCGTCGACGAGTATACGAAGAAAACATGGTAAAAAAAATATGGTTTATAGGAAGACGAGTTACAAACTGTTTTCATAACCAGCATCAAAAATACTATATAGAACCAAAATAAAAAAATTAGTCTGAAAAAGAAACGTTTTTAACAAAAAAATTGTTGGGGAAGGGGTTAAAATGCAGTAACAAAATTATTGAAAAACCCAGAAACTATCTGAACACTCAAAATACAAATTAGGAGTACTATTTTTAATTTATCATTTAATTTAATCTAGTTTTTGATAATAAATGTTGCGTCCTATATTTATTTTCTTTTGCTACTATTATTATGGGACAAATTACATTCATCAACTGCTATTATTATTATGGGACAGAGGGAGTATATAAAAGGCTAAGCTGACTCGTGCATGTGTGATACATATAAAGCTCTCGCTGGCGCCAATCACATGTGTGTTTCGATCTGTCATTGTTGATTGTGAATTTGGTTGACACTTCTATTATAGAGAAAGGGTGAACAGCAATATTAAAATATTTCTTCTAATTAATTTCCTTTCAATGTGCATGAATTTGTGCACCGGGCCAGTAGTTGTAAATAAAACTGCAATGAACATAGGATGCATATTAGCATTTGGGTTTCTTCAGATATATATACCCAGAAGTGGAACTGCTTGGTCACAGGGCAATTCCATTTTTTCATTTTTTGAGAAACCTACATACTGTTTTCCACAGTGGCTGCACCATTTTGCATTCCCACTAACAGTGTACAAGGGTTCCCTTTTCTCCACATAATCACCAAACTTGCTGTTTATTGATATATTGATAGCCATTCTGACAGGTGTGAGTGTACATTTGTTTTTACATGGGTTAACCAAACCCAATTATTCCCATTAAGATCTATGGTAGCAAGCCAGTTCTAAAATTACGAGATGTTTAGAAGAGGATTAGAACTCCCCAATTTACATGTGGTTTTTCTCTGTGTTGAGCTAGAGAACCTATCACATCAACTCTGTCAGGGGTTTGTCTTTACAGGACTTATCAGTAAGGGGTGCTTTCAACCAGGCCCCTATTTGATAGCATGTTGTTAGTGAACAAGCCCATCATAAAAAGTGCTGGCTCAAAGTGTTGTCTACGCACCTTAGAAAGGGAAGTATTTGAAGGTTAAAGATGCTTTGGACTCAAACAAACCTTGGGCAAGTCACTTAGCCACTCTAAGCCTACTTCTTCACTTATAAAAAATGGAGTGAATAACACCTAAGTATCCTAAGGTTGTTGTAAAGATTAAATGGGATCATATATAAAAAGGGCTTCCCAGTGACTGGCACATAGCTCAGGACAGTCCATGCTATCCTCATTAAGCCCATAATGGCACAATTAAAACAGATTAAAATAGACAGATTCAAAAGAGATTTACATGGAAACTCTAAAACATTCACTACAATAATACAGACAGGCGGTAAAAGGATGATTGCTTTATTAAATGTAAAAGTGGAAATTCTACCAGATGGAATGGTTCTCAATCTTGGCTGCACAATGAAATCACCTGGAGTTCTTAAAAAAAAAAAACTAATGATACCTGCGTCCAGCTCCACAGATTCTGATTTAATTGGTTTGAGGTGCAGCCAGATAGCAAGAGTTTTAAAAGCTCCCCAGGTGATGCTAATGTGCACCTGAGGGTGAGAACCACAGTACCGATCTAATCCACCATTACGCTTTGGTTATAAATTAGTTTGGCCAGGTAATTTTTCCTTAATCCGAACAAGCCTACAGAAATGATTCATAAAAGGAATCTTCCTAGTAAATATTGTCTATTAAGTTGAATTTAACAGAACCAATATCTAATCTAACACACAAGTCACCTGGTACAGTTCTTAAAATACGCAGAATTCAAAGATGATGTTGGAATCATAAATCTAAGGAATTTTTACACATCTTAGCAGTAGCAGATACGCACATTAAATAAAACACATTGATTTTATCAGGAACTGAGCCATGACTTTTTCAAGTCATGTTTCTTAGAAAATGTCAGTGCACTCTCCTTGCTGGGAGCATGCCCACGCTTCTCCCTCCCCTCTTTCCTTCCCCCACAGGTGTGCATCTCCTAAACTCTAAGGGACCCCACAAGACAGGAGCAATGGGCAGCGGCTGCTCATGCCAGGTTACCTCCCTAGACCTGTCTCTAAGGCCCCCCTTTTCTCTGACTTCTCAGTGAGCCAAAGCAGCCCCCACAGGCTCATTTCTTTTCTAGAGCCAAAGCAGCCCTGCCTAGGCTCTCTCCTGTGGCTTCTTCTATCCTAAACCCTTCCTTGTTTCAGTCCCCAGCTTTAATAAATATACTCTCAAAATCAAAAAAGAAGAAAATGTCACTGGGACCCAAGAGGAAAGTGAGCTGTCCAGGGTTAACATTTGATTTCCCATTTGGCCACATTCCAGAAGAATTTCATCCTTAAGAGGTATTTCAGAATACTCTCAAGGTTGATGAAAATGAAACTACTGCCTCTTGGAGCTACAAATATGGTATATGATTCCATATTTGTAGATCTCCTCTCATAAGGGAGATTGGACAGAACCAATTCATCTGGTACAACACAGAAAACTGACAACCACGCTGCCAAGTCACTGCAGCTCAGCAGCTCCTGCATCAAGCGTCTGCCCCCTGGTGGTCATTGCACATCATAGCTACTGGTCAGACAGTCGAATGATCGGACGGCTGCTTAGGTTTTTACATATAGACTAGTGGCCCAGTGCATGAAATTCATGCAGGAGGGAGGGGGGTGTCTCTCAGCCCAGCCTGCACGCTCTCCAATATGGGACCCCTCAGGGTATGTCCAACTGCTGATTTAGGCTTCAATCCCTGGGATGAGGCCTAAACCGCAGTCAGACATCCCTCTTGCAATCTGGGACCACTGGCTCCTAACTGCTCACTTGCCTGCCTGCCTGATCACCCCTAACCACTCTGCCTGCCCCTTTTATTAGTATAGATATTATATATACTATTTTGACATGTAATTTTTTTGCAGTGACGTAATTACCACATGAATCTTTCTTCTAATTAATTTTTTTTCAATTTGCACAAATCCACGCACCGGGCCACTAGTATTCTAATAAATAGGTATGGTATCAGATGGGTATGAGATTTATTGGGATGATCACTTAGTAAGTTGTATAATGTCTAATCACTGGGGTGTACAACTAAAACTAATATAATATGTCGACTGTAATTGAAAAATAAAAAATTATTGTACAAAAGAAATTCTAGGACATAAAACCCTAAACTACTTTGTCATTAGTAATCAAGCATGCAATTAAGTGTGGAAGAGAGAAGAGTCATGTTGCTGCTGAGTTTCCTGGAAAAGCCTCCTCATGAAGCTGCCAGGACCTCACTCACTTGTAGAGCAGGCTGGGGGCCTTCACGGTACACTGGAAACCTTGCTGGGTCTGCACCACCTCGTAGCCATCACAGGGCTCTTCTGCACACTCCACGAAGCCTGCACAGAAACCATAAAATCTTGCACAGAGTGCTGCTCTGTGACAGCCACTCTCAAGGTTTAAAAAAAGCAACACACACACACACACAACAGCCCAACACTTTACATTGCAGAGCACTGCTCTGACAGACCTTGTGACCAGCTCTTTGAAGAAAAATAAAATAAAAAACACCTATTTCAAATCTTCCAATTTTGGAACCTTGGAAAATTAGTAAGTACATACCACTGTTTCTCCCAGAACACAAAGACCTAATAAAAATGTTTTGCCCTAGCTGGTTTGGCTCAATGGATAGAGCGTTGGACTGTGGACTGGAAGGCCCCAGGTTCAATTCTGGTCAAGGACACATGCTCGGTTGCAGGCCCTCCAGTGGGGGACGTGCAGGAGGCAGCCGATCAATGATTCTCTCTCATCATTGATGTTTCTATCTCTCTCTCCCTCCCTTCCTCTCTGAAATCAATAAAAATATATATTTTTTTAAAGTTTTACTGCCCCACCAACGTGGCTCAACCACTGCTGAGCATCCCTTCCTCTCTGAAATAAATATATATATATATATTTTTAAGTTTTACTATTTTTTATGGAGATGTAATTCACATAACATAAATTCATCCTCTTAAAAATGTACAACTCAGTTGTTTTTAGTTTTAAGGCATAAAATTCTTCTAATGAATAAAGTTGGAGGGATACTGTGAGAACTTACTCCATACAGCAGAGACAAAGTGAAATAAAGGAGCCCAAAGGCTCCAAGGCTGAAGGGAAATCATGGGGAGCATCAGGGAAGAGACTAACCTCCAAGACTTAGGGCCCAATGAAAAAGCGTATAAAGCAAAAGGCAAATAAAGCAGAGAACCTCAAAGGCCCTGCCAATTTATGCATTTAACCCAAGCCCAAGTTAATTAGCCTGAAAATATTTATAATCTATCTTGACTGTTTAATTTATTTCTTAAATTATCCCTACATCATAATAAAGTTGTGTATTTAGAACTGCTTGTATATGTCTGCAAGGAAGAGAAAAATAACAACAATAATAACAACTAACATTGGTCACTGGATAAAATACTTTACATATATTCATTTACTTAAATAATTTATATATGTATTATTTCACAACTTTACAGATAAAGGAAGTTACTTTTGTTACAGAATACTAATGGCCAATCTTAACAGTTAACTAAAATTGCCCCCTCTTACATTTAAGCCTCTGTACAAAGATGAAATGTAACTAGATTTTGAACTGCCACTGAGAACCTCATTACACTCAAACACATCAGTCCCCTTACACACCAACACAAATGGCATGATGAGAAGCCAATCATCTCAAATTTCAGTACAAGAAAGCAGCACGCTGAAACAAAACGAAGAGCTGCTTCTACAATACAGAGGACAGTTTACTTCTAATCTGACCACTGACCAAAGAGCAGCGGGGGTTACCTTGATAGAAGTCCTCCTCCTCCTCTTCATGTGGGTAAGTCTGCTCTTGAATGGGATTCTTCCTATAAATCCGCCCTCCAATTCTTATAAGCTGCGGGCGCAGAACGTCCATGCTACGCTCCCAAACAATATTCCAGTGAAGTCCTGGAAAAAACAAATGCTCACCTTACCTTTCGATCAGAAAGAAAAACCCTACATATGGGTCATTACTCAGCCCTGAAAGGACGAAACTGGGCATCCGTTCACAGTACCTCCTGAGCCCCAGCAGCCTTGTTTCCGTTAGACCTCCCTATTTGTGAGCTGTTGTGAGCCAGTCGCTTCATTTTCCACTGCATCCTATCATTCCTGGCTCACTGGAGACAGTAATTTGTAAACTATTCAGCACTCCAAAAAAGGTAATTAAAAGATATTAAGCCAAAACCGGTTTGGCTCAGTGGATAGAGCGTCGGCCTGCGGACTGAAAGGTCCCAGGTTTAATTCCGGTCAAGGGCATGTACCCTGGTTGCGGGCACATCCCCAGTGGGAGATGTGCAGGAGGCAGCTGATCGATGTTTCTCTCTCATCGATGTTTCTAGCTCTCTATCTCTCTCCCTTCCTCTCTGTGAAATATCAATAAAATAAAAAAAATTGTTTTAAAAGAATGTAATAAAAAAAAGATTAAACCCAGTATATAGAGCCTGTCCACAGATTTGAAAGAAAAACAATAGAGGCCTGTTTATTACTTTAACCTAAAAGGAGTAAAATGCAACCTTCTGTGTTTAACCATTTGCAAAGTGTTTCACCCTTTCTATGAAGCACGATAATTAAAAGGACCAGGGAGCCCTAACCCAGTGGTTCTCAACCTTCTGGCCCTTTAAATACAGTTCCTCATGTGGTGAACCCAACCATAAAGTTATTTTCATTGCTACTTCATAACTGTCATGTTGCTACTGTTATGAATCGTAATGTAAATATCTGATATGCAGGATGGTCTTAGGCCACCCCTGTGAAAGGGACGTTCGACCGCCAAAGGGGTCGCGACCCACAGGTTGAGAACCACTGCCCTAACCCGTTTGGCTCAGTGGATAGAGTGTCGGCCTGCGGACTGAAAGGTCCCAGGTTTAATTCCGGTCAAGGGCATGTACCCTGGTTGCGGGCACATCCCCAGTGGGAGATGTGCAGGAGGCAGCTGATCGATGTTTCTCTCTCATCTACCCCTCTCCCTTCCTCTCTCTAAAAAATCAATAAAATATATACATTTTAAACAGAAATCAGGGATATTTAACACACTTATCCCTCAGAGGGGGGTAAAGGCCCCGACTACTTTCAGAGGTGCTTGAAATGCACACCCAACGAACAGACCCAGATGCCTATGAAAACAGTTAAAATATGACTTCACCAACATGATTCTTCAACACACTGTCCCTTGCCTTGGGTGGTGAACACACAATACAGTGTACGGGCGACGTTTTGTGGAACCGTGCACCTAAAACCTGTATAATTTTAACCAGTGTCACCTCCATAAATTAATAAAAAGGGGGGGGCACATTGCTGCGAGGAGGAATCCAATTCCCACAGGCCACTGCCCAGCAAACCACACCACTCCCTGAGCAGCCCACGTTCTAGTCAGAGTTCAGTGAACCAATAATTCAGGAAACAGAGGGTTGCTGATGGGCCGGCTGTGTTTAAATCCAACCAGCGTTCCTACCACAGGGGCTTTAGTGGGTAAGTCTAAGGTGGTTGGTTAGTCTTGAAGCCCAAAATAAAGCTCCCAAGAAAACAGATTAGTCCTTAATAATGACACTAATACTCGGTCCCCCCTCAGCAAGTCACTGTAATTGACCGTTTGCTTACAGAACCAAGCAGACATTTCGTGTTGTGAGAAATAACCACGAAGAAAAGGGGGCTTGAGCGGAGAAGAGGGAGCATAACTAGCAATACCCTGATGTCTCCAGGACCTCCGTTAAAAATAAAAAAAGGCTCTCCACAAAGGCTTTCCTGCCCTGGTGGGCCTCAGACCAGGAGCTCTGGAAGAGGGGAGTCGGGGTTACGACAGCACAGTCATCTGCCTCCCAGGGCCACGAAACCGCTCGGGAGGAAGGGGGATACCCAGTGTGGCCCGGCTTCATGGGGGCTTGCAGAGGGAGAGGAAGGCAGAAGGCCGGCGACATCGAAGCCGAAGCCCTGCATCACAAACGCGAGCAAAAAAAGGCCAGGACGTCAAGGTAACTGCGGAGGCCTCCGCTGCTGCAGGGAAACCGCAGCCGGCAGCAGGGACCACGGGCCCGGAAGTCCTCTCCGGAAGCGCGTCCTCCCCGCCGGCCCGCCCAGGCCACGCCCACATCACCCGGGCGCGAGCTCGCCGTGCGCGGTCGTTCTCTGCGCGGCCGCTCCGGCTGAGGCCTGGGGGCGGGGCTGAAGGGGGAAGTGCCAAGACCGCTGAGGTAAGTTGCCAAGGGCTCAGGGACGCTCAGGAGCTTTGCAGAAAGGGAGTTTATCCTCGGGATCCTACCTGCAGGGACTAGCGAAAAGGAGAAGCTAGGAGAAACGGGAGCCTGCCGCGGAGGGCGTGGAAAAGAAGTCTCCGCAGGCCGCGACGGGCTGAGAACGCATGCGCGCCTGGCGGTGGCGCATGCGCGATGGCCCCTTGGGGCCGAAAGGGGGTTGGGGGAGAGTGTGCCCTGGAATGAGTTTGGGAACCTCTGGCGTTCTGACTCCTCCCCTCTTCGGCCCTTTCTCTCCACCCCACCTGGTTTTCGCTGCAGCATCTGTTTGAATGGTAACGCAGCTATTTAAGTGGGGTGGATACAGTGGAACGATTTGTTGATGGAATTTGATTCCTTATAATAATTTGCCATTGTACCACGGGACCTTATTTAAGAGTCTATCTTTTGAATAAGACTTTTTCAAAAGGAAGGAATCTTTTTTTTTAACAAAAATGGCATAAATCTGCTAGGAAGGAAAATAGTTTATGAATACAAGGTCATCCCTGTCGTATGTGAAGTAAATATTGAATCATCTTGCCCTGACCGGTTTGGCTCAGTGGACAGAGCATAGGCCTGCAGACTGAAGGGTCCCGGGTTCGATTCCGGTCAAGGGCATGTACCTTGGTTGCGGGCACATACCCAGTAGGGGGCGTGCAGGAAGCAGCTGATTGATGTTTCTCATCAATGTTTCTAACACTCTCCCTTCCTCTCTGCAAAAAAAGAAATCAATAAAATATATATATAAAAAAAATATT